TTGTGTGTTTGTGGTTGTGTGCTTGTGGTTGTGTGTTTGTGGTTGTGTGTTTGTGGATGTGTTTGTGTGTTCGTGGTTGGAGGAGGAGATGGGGCTGACATAAAATCTAACAACCCTCACCTGACAGGTGGGGAACAACACCTCAAACGATGCAACAATGAATTGTTGATCAGCCACCCGCATGACGCGTGAGATTCGGGACATGTCGAAGAGCTGCAGGCTGGTGCGAGGCGTTGCGAGGCTGTTTGGAGCCGGAACTGTTGTCAACACTCGTCAGCCGTCAGCATCTGAAATCTTGTTTTAATGGCTGAACCCTTTAATTAGCTTCCACCCGAAACCCACACTTTGCATAGATGTAAGAACAACACAAAACTCCACACATCTCGGCATACATCTCTCAAACACCTTTGTCACCCCTTTCGCACCTTCATGAGGTCGCGGTAGACCTCATTCACTGCCTGGCATCCCGTCGCAATCGTCCAATCCATCCGTCCGGTCCGTCAGTCGTCCAATCCGTCCTGCTTGAGGTTGGAGGCTTTGCCGGGGATCTCTGGATCCCACGAACCTCGAGGCCGCCGGGAAAAGGAAAAGACACACCCCGCTGGCCAAGCAAAACCACAAACATGCAGGCCCTACGGTGGAGGGATGGCTTACTGGGAGGGGAAGAACTGTTGGAAGTCACGCACTGGCTCCACTCAGCTCCAGCCTATCTCTGAGAATGGTGTGAAGATAATTGTGATGCCTCCCTCCCGTTCATTCATGAAACCAAAAATAAAATCAGCAGCACTGCGCACCCGTCATTCTTCTTAAACAAAGGACCGATGTATATGAGAAGCGGAGCAAGGGTTCACCATCGTGGTTAATGATGGTCATATCGACGTGTATTCGGTGTATGCTCCACTTTTCAAGGTCTAACTGAGAGACCGGGCCATCCATGTGCACTTGCCGCAAGTTCTCCGGATGAGAAGTTCTCCGCAACCTCGGCAGGTTCAGGTTGCGAAAAGACTTCAAAGACCCGTAAAAACCTCCGGATTCTTAGATTGAACAGAACAAAGGAAGTGGGGAAGTATAGAGATCAACTACGTTCAACTACCAGATCAAATGATCAAATTTTATCATAAACATATCTTATTGGGTTGATACCCAACAAGGTGCGCAAGGACCGAGAATCGCTGTGGGATCTGTGCATAAGTTGGCTTCGGTGGTTTCAACCTTTGAGTATCCTGACCACTCTGGCTTCCGTTCAATAAAATCGAACACTTATTATACACTGATATACACTGTATTCCCTGTATTCTTGATGAACGGCCGTTTCTAGGGTAATCATTCCCAAGAGGTGTTCATGTCCAGTTCCAGCAGTTCACTTCTTAACATTGGATCCGTAGCACGCCAGGTGCCGAACATCTCTCATCAGCACAAGAGCAGCCACCGCCCTAAACCATCTTAAACTCGCTTTCTCTTCCACCCCAACAGAAACCCAAAAACACCTTGGTTCCCCAAGGAGTCTCCCCGTATCCTTGAACTTGGAGCTGAGCCCGGTCGTTGGGTCTTTCGAGCAATGGAAGCGACGCCCGCCTGCCGTGCCCATGCCGTTCATCGACTTCGCGGTGGTTTCTGGGGCCTGGCGTGGCGAAATGCTTGCCAAACTCCTCCGAGAGCTGGTTCGCCTGAAGGCAACGGGTCGTCCAGGTCAGGCCATGAAGGCTTGCCGCTTGGCCCAGAAGCAGTTGCCGTGGCTTGCCATGTATCCCCCCAAGGTGTCTAAGGAGCCACCCGATGCTGCACAATCGTAAAGTGTGACATGGGACACCGACTTGGAGGAACCCAACAAAACCACTTTGTGGGGCGATTTTGGTGTGCGAATCTTCCGATGTCCACCCTGCAACGTTACGTAATGAGCACCTTCTTCACCGCAGGATCTCCTTCACGCGCCTGGAGGCGGCAAGGCATCCAAGTGCTTGTGATGTCCGTTCCATCCAATTGAGGCAACCCAACACAGAGCGGTGCTCTTCCGTTTCACTACTAGAGTTGCTACTTTTGCAAATGAACAACCACATCGTTTCAACTAAATATACATATACTGTATATATATATATGGGAGTTGATCTAAATTCCTTTATCCGGGATCCGTCATTTTCGCCAAAAAAAATTTACTTTCGCCAAACTTTCGCCTTCCTGCGTTTTATCTTTCGCCGAAGTACGTTGTATTTATGTGTGCCATGTATGTTGTGTTTTGTTCACGTCAATGGCTTCTTCTTTACTGGCAAACACAAAATAGAAATTTCACTGTTTGTCAGCATGTGTCTTCTACTTAACTGTTGACACCCTGTACGTCTCTTTTGTTTCTCCTGGGTGTCAGCAAGAGTCAAAAATGCAAGAATCACTGAAGTAGCCGGTCACCGAAACTTATTCATAATGGGCTGGGGGTCAGATGTGGCAGGGTGAACTTTCGCCAATCTTGAGCTGAACTTTCGCCAAACTTTCGCCTTTTGCGGGGTAGAGTTTTGTGGCAAAGCCACCCCCCAAAGCAGGAGCAGGAATAGTAGGAATAGTAGTAGGAATAGTAGTAGTAGTAGTAGTAGTAGTAGTAGTTAGTAGTTAGTAGTAGTTAGTAGTAGTTAGTAGTAGT